GATAAGAGCTATTTGAAAATCATAAAATTACAAACCATCCTCTCTCATAGCAGTAAGGATTATTCCAGCTAACAGGAAAGCTGGAAAAGAGGAAGAAGAAAGGGAAAAAGGTAAATTTGCATTGTATAAAAACAAAACAACTTTATCAGTGTGACAGATTTACTGTTGGCCCTGTAGTTGTCACTCAGGCCCACTGATTAAAACTGCTCGCAACAGATATCTAGAAACACACTACATGAATCAATTACAACACAATTACCATAATAAATCATAAAAGGCAGGAGGTAAATCAGTTTGCTGTTTACAGACATGGTTGAGGAGTTGAACTAAGGTTTGCAACCCCCCTCCAAAAAAAAAACAACAACAACAACAAAACAAAACAAATTCATCTGATGGTGAAAGCAGGATGCAAACCCAGGATCCACTGATTGAAAGCCTACCATGCTGTCCACACCATCAAATAAGGGTAAAGCAGTTTGTAAGAAATAGGCAATAATGATAGTATATAGGATGACCCATGTTATTAAAATCATTCTTTCAAACCCAAAAGTTCTTACTTATAGAAAGGACACAATATTCTTTAAAATATTAATTAAAATTGTTCTTACTATTTATTTCTCTACCAACTTGAACACAGTTTGGTTAAGGAAGACTTTTACTTTTTGTAAAATAAAAATAATTATATACACACCAATTCCAGCCACAAACAACAAAAAGGCAGCTGTGACAGTCTTCCAATTTTCTTTAATTCTGGGATGTCTTAACCAACTGCCAAGAAAACAATGCAAGAGAATATCTGAGTTAAGTCTAGGAAACTATTTCACAATTAAGTTCTCACACTTGATATACATGATGCCAACAAAGTTCACAAGTTAACAATAGTTCAATAACACTCTTTTGACAATTATTGATGGTGTTAAACACTTCACACATTACAATTCAAATATTACAAATGAAGGCAATGCCTTTAAAAACCATAACACCAAAAAAACCTTACTATACTAGATTCATCATTGGCCAATTCAATCAGAAACAACTACACATTTTGCAAATTATATGACTCTGATACAGATTGTATATTCAAAAAAAGTATATACTTACAAAAGTGTTTCTTTCTTGAAACCACTTACATCTTCTTGAGAATCAAATCCAAACGAACTTGCACTGTAAAAAATTAAAACCTAGGTCAAGGCACAATATGATAACCATGACTGACAAAAAGAGTTGTTATTTTATATTTGAGGAAACATGCATTGATAAGTTTTTTTTTTCTCTTGCTATACTTTATATTAAACTCTCTAGATGAAACTGGTTTTTTTTTTTTAGTTTTGTTAAAAACACATAATTTCCTCTTTTTTATTGTAATCCATAAGAAAGCCCAAAGACTACCAACAGTTGACAACCAAACCATATTTCTTTTTGGAAGTTATTATGGTTCAAATAACAACTACAAATAGTCCTGAGAATGTTTTCACTTTAACCCACTATAAAGGAATGGAGAACAGCAAATCAACCATCACTTTTGAGGGTGAGTTTGAATTAATACTTGTAGATAATTTCACTTTTTGTGCTTTTTCATCAATTTCACACATACCCAACACTTTCAGTCTTCCTCCTTTCAGAACTTGCTCCAAATGAACTTGAAGAGGCTTGGAACTATAAAAAAAATAGTAGGATCACGCTAAATGATAGTGCTACCAATATACAGTTATTTTTACATCTTTGTCCGATGGTAAGCTCACTTTAAACCCATTACTTCTCAAGTAATTGACTGATTTTACAGACCTCAGCAGCCATAAGGTTACAAGGCACGTAAAAAATCTCAGCATTGATCTAAGTGCAACCAAGTGTTCACCACAGTAATATTGTATATGTTGTGATTCAATTTTATCCTTGGTTCAAATTTTATTTCCCTTTGTTTCAAACTCATTATCATACATTATAGTACTCAAAAATAAAAGAAAAGAAAATTTGAACCAAGGATGAAACTGAACCACAACATACATACACTCACATACACATTCAAACTCATTATCATGCATTACAATACCCAAAAACAAAAGAAAAGAAAATTTGAACCAAGAATAAAATTTAACCACAACATATACCACTGAGAAGACCTGAAACAGTCTTCAGCAAAATAATTTTTTGCTTGAAATTGAATTCTGATATCAAGCCAATTATTTGATGATAGGAATTCGTAAGGTATCACAAAGGAAAATTAGCATTTTCATTTAAATTGAGATGGTGTGAAAATTATGCATAGTATCCCTGTAAAAGTACACATTCTCTTGTGGCTTATTAAACACTGAATTTTGATATTTCATTTCATTTCATAATTTTTACCACTGAACAGAATGGGAGCTTATTTTTTCATGCTGAGAAGTTCTAGAAGACAAGTTTATTTTGACAATGCATTTTGATCAACATGTTTCTTTGTTATGATCTGCACATATTGAACTAAAAAAGTTTGTCTGGTATTTTTATTTTAATATCTGATTATTTTTTAATCATTTTTTAAACTTTAAAGTAGTGCTTTTGAACAAAGTTTTTATTGTTGATGCTATATCTCAAGAAAAAAGGAAAAAATCTAAAATCCAGGACATCCTTTTGGGGTTCATTAACTATACTTCCAACATTATCTTCAAGTTTCACGAAAAACCAACTGAATATCAGCCAAGAATAACCTGTTGAGAGATTAGAACTCAAACCAAAACACTTAACCAGGAAAAGAAACTTGAAATTTCATAAATGTGTCTCCACTTCACAACTGGGAAGGCTGTTTTGCAATCACATTGAAGCAAGCCCTTTGACACTGTTCTGCTTGTCAGCACTGTTGCATGCTAGAGAGCAAAGACCTAACACAATTTGTAAGGAATTATGTCAAGAAGGTTAAGTGTAGCACATGTGAATATGTAGCTATCTATGTCAAAATGGAAGGTGCTTCAACCAGCAAAAAGAGGAAAGAAGTAAAGTATCAAGTAAAGGAAGGAAAGCTTCACTGGAAACACAACCCAGCTTTTCAACAATTGATGCTTGAAGTGCAATGCTACCCAAATGATGATTTACTGCTCGCAATATTTTTGGCAAACTTAAGTCTATGGCAATTTCGATAGAAATAGACTCTGGCCACTGCATCTCTTAAGTCTGATAGGAGAGACTATCACTATCAGTGAACAATATTCTGCTCCAATGCAAACTGCTACTAAATTTTCCTTTATCCACAACAGCAAAAGGGACTTGTCACTTTTGGACATGACAACAGCTTGAAAACAACACTTGAGTAGCAAAAACAATCTCTCTAGCTTTTGGAAAGAAATAATGTAGACTTGACAATGAATAAGCAATTTTGCAACTGTACAAAACTGTATAGCGCACATAGTAAATCAGCAGTGGAAATCGTTGGTTAGGTAATGACATTGACATGAAGTGTCATCAATCTAACACCTTTTGTTCTACTCTCAAATCACTCTTTGCTTTTTATCTCCTGAAGTAAAAAAGATACCAAAATAAAATTTTAAGAAGTTGAAAGATCTTTTTCATTTTTAGATGTTATATTTTCAAGTAATTAAAAAAATGATTTTTACCTTCTGTGATACCTTGATGTAATAACATAATTATACATTTTGCCTCTTTCATTAATGCAAAAATCTATTATTTGTCTTTCCAGACATAAGACCAAAATGCAGTGAAAAAATTAATTAATTAAATACAGAAAGAATGTTTCAATACAAAGCCAAGCTTACAATGCACAATTTAAGTAAATGACATATCTCAGAATTCTCATTATTTATTTATAACTAGCATCATGAATTATACACAGTATTAAGAACTGAAAGTATAATTTACCAAGAGAGGGATCTTCACTGAAAAAATATTGTTATGATGCTAAATGCTTAATATTAAAAAATTTTTATCAAATATTCACTAGTATTAAGTTCTGGATGCCTCCTTTTTATTGTTGAATGTATAAGCAGGAAACATACACCCATCTGTTTGCTGGATCTTATTCACAACTTATGTTCTATAGTCAAAGCAAATTTTCTAAAAAGGTTTTTGTCCTTTAGGAAAGTAATTATAATATTTAAACGACTAAAATTTAAATTTTCTTAATACACACTGCTCCTAAATGGTGAAAATTAGACTTTTCCACTCACTTTATTTAGTTCAACAATGGTATTTAACATAACAATTATATAAAGAAACAGTCATGATTTTTCTTTAGATTTTCACACTATTGCCATGAAAATATTTTTTAAACTGTTTTGTTTTTGCTGTCAGAATATAACTGTTACCATTACTGAGACTATACTAAATAATAATTTAAAATTTTATGATAGTTGTATTAAATTCAGTCTATAACCTGCATAATCTGACTTCACTGAACTGTCAGGCTGTCAATAGCACATGCAAAATGTGTTATGCTGCATACTAAGAAATTCAAACCCTGGAGGAAGTATATTCCCTTATTTTTGCCACCTCTCCCCTTTTAGCTCCCTGTGCTTGATACCTTAAAAGGTTGCTATGCCATAATGTGCACAATTTTTGTCTTTATCAATGTCAGTAGAAAATGATAGGATTTTTAACTCGAACAGGATCATGGTTTAAAGATCATAAGCTGCAGACCAATCTTAACTGTTCCCTTCTGGTTCAGCAGCAGTTGTGCAAAGGCATGGAGTGAAGGTAAGCAAATAAGTCGAGGGCAGTGGGGAAAGAGCTACCTTTATTATTTTTCAGCCAGCTTTAACTACCGCCCACTAGGATATCAAGAGAAAGGGAGGCAGTGACACATCTACAGCTACAAGGGGTCTAGGAGTCTCCCAACCAAACCTCCCTTAAAATGTGCCCCTTCCCCACTGGTTCAAACACAATCCTTAACAATGCTCAAGGATAATTCATCTTACACTTACCCTGGTGTTTCTCAGACATTATTACTTTTTTGTCTTTTTGTAACCTTTGAAGATGTTGTTGTAATCAAGACAGAAGGTACATGTAAACAGACAGTAGGCCAATCTTTTTAAATATTTTCATTTTGAGGATAATCAGATGCTTCCTCTAGATCTAATAACCTTTAAAGAACAAGTTCTGGTTGGTTTTGACATTTCCTATTAACTACGGTTATGACATTTCCTAGTAACAAGGTACTAGTGTGGTTAGGGCAAACCTAGTTTTTAACATCTCACTGAATCAATGTACTCTCTATTGCATAATTCCACATTGTTTGTAGCATGTTACCAAGGTGGATCCTCGAGCTCTGTTCCCTTTGGTAACTCTCTACTTAAGACACCTCAGCTTCAAAGGGGCAAAACAAAGTGAGATATCAACCCACACAAAGAGGGACAGAGAACAGAAATGTTAATTTTATATTTACATTTTAGTATGTTAATTATAAATTTACATTTTAGTATGTTAATTTTAAAGTTTATTGAGAATTTAAAATTAATATTATCATAACAAGAGCCAGAAGACACAGAGCCAGCAATTAAGGTTCAACATAAAAGACAATAATTTGGTGGAATTGACCCGAAAAAATTGATGACTTTCGGTTTCCAGCGATGTTTAAGTCTGCTATTTTAGGTTTGCGATTATTTAGAGATAGAGACTTGCTTTATTCTTAAGTTCTTTGGATTATCACACAAAGTTTGTCCGTCATAAATAAATAAAGATCACTGTACAGTGTGTACGTGAGAGACCAAGTAAGAAACCAGGCGTTGGATATTGGCGATGAAAAAAACGAAGACAAATGCATTGGAGCATCCGTGCAAGAAATGTCTGTTATCCGTTACTTTAAGTCACACGCGCGCATGTACGAAATGTTGTGTCGAAATCGTTTTACCTTATTTGCTGACCATATATCTCCATACCCTAGATCCTTGTCTTCACTTACTTCTCCGCTCTTTCCGGCATAGTCTTGATCATTTTGTACCTGGACGTTCGGCTCAATCGGTCTTGGAATTCGCCCCTTTTTCTTGAATTTTTTCGTTCGCAACGTTATATCGGCATCTTCTTCGTTGTCTAAGTCCTCCGAACTCGAGTTCAACAGTTCGTTTTGCTTGCTATACGGCACATTTGATGCCATGGGTATCGCCACAAAGAAGATCTACCAAGCTAGACCATGATTTACGCAATAAAAACTTGATTTAATGGACGTCGCTTTCCTCTCCGGGAAAAATTTTAACGACCAATCTTCTTGTTATCATTTGACAGTGGCCTCTCTTTGGTGTATACGCCTTTCTGGCTGAGAGAAGGTTGGGAGTTGAGAAAGAGCCTCTTTTTCAGGGTGCAAAACTATCAATTTCTAGGGGTGGGCTGGAAGTAATGACTGAAAGTTCAGCATGGCTTCTTCGTGTGATAGTTCTGAAGAAGATTTGGCAAAGTTTGCTGTTATTACTGACGTTGTTGACTCAGGTATGATGAAAAAATTAATTTACCTGCAGGAAGAAATGGAATTTTGCCTCTTAATACGCTTATGGTCCTTTTTCCAGAAGTGGCGATGGTACATAGCACTTCTCCATCTAATTCCAAGTCCAAACCAAGTCTGAGGTCAGTTTTATCGTTGGTACATTTGCAAGCTACTTGAGCTCGTAGACCTCTTTTTCCTGTAAATTCCTATTTCCAGTAGATTTCCTATAAATCCTTATTTCCAAAATAATAGTTTGCGAGGGAAAAAACCGCAAAAAATTGAAAACAAAGCGAAACAAAGAAAACAGAACAGAATGAAAGTGTAAAATTTATTATCTTGTTTAATCTTCTCCCCACTATAAAAAGTAACTTTTGGCAAGTGGCCTGTCACAATCTTTTTTTCAACGAAGCTGACAAGTTGAAACCCCATAGATGCAATTTTCAAAGGTGCCAAACAGTTGTGTCAGAGTAAATCCTCAGGAAAACTTGCACAACAATTTGTTGTGGTTGTAAAAAGGAGGCACTGTATACTCTTTCCATGTTTACATTACCACACAAATCTTACGCCAGAAATACAACTTTTTTTTGAGATATATCCTGGAAACTTACCTCAAGACATTTTATTGTTAAATACGCCTGGCTTACCTTGGTCAGTGTGCCTTTAATTACTCTAATTGTTTTTATTTTAGACATTGGCGAAAGGAAGAGGATATTACCTGTTCTTCAACAGAATTGATAACACCTGAGTTTAGACAACATGTTGCAAAAAAGCTTTCAAAGTTTTTGGATGAGAACTTCATCTGGTAAATATTCAATCCATATTCAATTCTGTATTGTATTTTTATTGTTGGTAAAAGATCTTATGCATTTTTACGAGACTAGGCTTTACGAATGTCCTATTTGTTATACCAGCTCTGAAGAAAATACTCACTTGCAAGATGACCATGTCAGCAGTTCACATGAATCCTTAGGAATCAAACTGCTCTTGAAATCCAATCAGTTACTATTGGGAGAATCTGTGAAGGAAGTGCCTAGCTCTACTGTTGCTAGAAAGAATACAAAATACTCTGTTAGCAGTGAAAGGTAAGATTTGCGCCATTCAAGTGGACTCAGGGCTATTAATATTACAAAAATCAACTGGCCTTTTCATGAATGGTGTAGAATATAAAACTTACAAAACTTTGAAAGTCACAAAACAATCCTGGCAGGCAAACTCCAAGTAAAGAATGTGCATAAGGAGGAGGGTCAAATAATTCAGGCTTTGATAGGATTCCAGCACATAGTTACCAGATTCTGGTTGAGCCCCACAGCCAACTGAACTGAAAGCTACATTATGGGAGTGAGGCAAATTTAAGCAGGTTCTTTGTTTATACAAAGGAAGAGTTTATTTTCCTATAATGATAAGTTAATTAAAGAGAATCCCACAAGCATTAATGTTGGCAATAACTTTCTCTTATTTAACCACAGAAAGTCATGTGGAAAATGTGAAAAATCTTATAAAGTTTATTCTGCAAGAAAGGCTCATCGTGTATGAGATCAGATTGCATACTCTGCTAACCAATTAAGACTCCTGAGTAACCATAACAATGGCCAGTTCCTAATATAGTTATAGTTATTCTATGCAGGCTTTTTCCGTTTCAAACAAGTGCAACTGAGATAATTTTTTTACCAAGCACATCAAGTATTGATGAATGTTTCTAATTTTTTTTTAAGGAATCAAATGAATGCTCATTATCAAAAGAAGTCTAATTTACCCTTGATATAATGGCACAAATGCTTTGAAGGTTGAGCCGATCATAACTCTGCAATTGTAATGTTCATTAATCCAGTTCTGTATATTACTATAAGCTATGTCTTCTACTTTTTTGACCAGTATTTCAAGTTGTTATGTATTAACCCTTTCACCCCCAAGATCTCATTAGCAATTCTCCTTACTGTCTGCCAAATGATTCTCATCATGTTAGTTTGGAGAATTTGATATCAGATCAATTAGTAATCCCATAATTGATATTTTTCTTAATTCTCATCACTTGTCTACATCATATGGCATAGATATAAAAAGGAGAAATTCTGTCATGGTCACTCACAAGAGTTAAAGGGCTACCATATCTGACAAATCTGTCATTGATTGATTTACATTTTATTTTGATGCCTCACAGATTTTGGGGATATAAGTGGGTTGTTGTGACAGTATAACCTCCTTTTGGTGTGTTTGTTCTGGTTATTTTACTGTATTCTGTAAAATATATATATATATATATTTCATGTTATCCTGATGATTGAATTTTACTTATCAGTGATACTGATGAGGAGGAATTGAGTCGTTTAGCAGAAGCAGCAGTGTCTGGGCACTCAGTCATTCAAGAAGGTGATATTAGTGTAACTTCTAGTGACTCATCTGTAACTTGGCATCCTTATTCTTACCTCAGCAAAAATGTACTGCTGCGCATTATAACATTTTAAGTTAGAATCTGGCATGCTTTTAGGATTCTCAGTCATGTGATTGTTACAGTAGTCTCTTGGTCACTCTGAGGATTGTCTGCTAATAAATTTTTACCATAGTATCTTTTACACTCGTTAGTTTTTCACATTCTCTGAGGAGTGTGTTTCATTCGTTCGTTTCTTGCTAACACTTTTGAGCATTTAGGGGATAACGCAGAGAAGTAGAGCGACAACCTTGAGCAGTTTAGCGACAACTCAGTTCGCAAACGACTCAGAGGATTTCGACGGCAACTCGGGGGGGGGGGGGGGGGGGGGG